AGGGGGGGAAACCATTAAACTACTAACAATAAGGACTGAAGGTAACAAAAATACATGAAAAATGTTAAGACAGTCTTTCTACATCAACTGTCAGTCTTTTACAAGTTAATATTTTTGTATGAAACAACTGTAGAACAGTACACATACAAAAGAAATAGGCCATATGTGGTCAGTAAATGAGTATTTATTGTACAGTATTTTAGTGACCATAATTAAGAAGATAGTTTATCTTTGTTTATATTAAATGGATGGGTAAGAAGGCAGCAGTCACACAGAATAAAGCTAAGAGAGATGCAGGTCGGAGGATAACATGGAAATCAAAAAATTGTACAAAACACGAGTGGTAACTACTTAACATTGAAGCACTGTGTGTGGTGATGCTTTACCCATAAGTGACATTTAAATTACATATGACAAATAGGCTATTAAAATATATTTAAGAACTTGCATGAATTTGATGATAGCAATAACAGATTAGTTTATAATTTTGCTAGGTATATGATCAGGTCTGTACCAGAATGCACAACAAACTATTCAACAATGTTATTTAAATAAAATGGCCATGGACACAGTTCTAGTATATTAGCTAATTGGTTACATAGTTAAGCCAATAAAGTACCTGTTTTGGCTTCAGGTTTTATCCATCTAGTAATTCTGTTTAATGGTTGTCCAGGTCTTCGTTTTCTGATGGGTCACTAATGCAGAAATTATTTTGAATGTCTAATTTTAGTGTTTTGTGTGGGCGTTAAACTCGGTATCTTTCATGTCACTCTAAGGGAAGACTATGGATTGAAAGTGTCTGAGAACAAAGTGCTGATGAGAATGTTCGGATCTGGGAGGGAAGAAGTATCAGTAAAGTGGAGAAGATTGCATAATAATAAGCTTCATAATTTATACTCTTAAAAAAATATTTAAATATTGACATTAATAATGATGGAATGGGTAGCATGTATGGGAGAGATTAGAAATGCATACGTAATTTTAGTCAGGTAACTGTAAGTGAATATATCACATGGGAGACCAGATGTAGGCATTAATTGTAAGGATATTGGAATGGGGCTTGTATAAACTGTGTCAGAATGTGGACTGTATTTGTCTGACCCAGGATAGTGACCAGTGGTGGGATCTAGTGAACATGATGATCCTTTGAGTTCCATAAGCGACAAGATATTTCTTAAACAGATAATTATTTTGGACATATCCATTGCCTTAAGTATCCTCAAACACAGCATTTCCATCATCAGGTAATGGGAGAAAGGTTTCTCCTACTTAGTTAGATCCCTAGGGTGACAAAATACAAACATTCTGTTGCACAAGAAGGGGCATTTTGGTGGTGGTGCATGTATTTTAATTTTAGATAAAACAGTTTAGTATGAGAACATCATCACTCTTATGAAAACCATGCTGTTTTCACTGTCTGGTGTTTACTCAATTCAGTTCAATTCTAGTGACCAGTTTCCTTGATTTTTCAGTCCTGTTTGGCACTGCCCTCTCTGCCGGACCAGTTACGATAACAGTGAAATAGAATATCTCCTACTAGACATAATGCACAGGAAAGCTATGGCTTACACACTGCAGGATCTGCAATGTAAGAAATGTCTGCAGGTGAGCTTAAATGTAAATAATAATTATATAGTAGCCATACAGTTAGATCAAAGATATAATGAACACCAACTGTATGCCTTGATAATGTTTGATACTTATTACTAAAGCCAGTAATTTTTAACAGTCACTGCTTTTTAGTAACTAAAATATATTGTCCACAGTAAGAAGTTTTCCCATATTATGTTGGTTCAGATCACCCACTCACAGAAATTTTCATTGCTAGACAATTCCTCCATAACAGTGATGGTCATGAATTTCTGTCAGCAAATAACTTATTACAAATGGCCTGTACAGTGAAGAGATGAGCCATTGATATCAGGAACTGTTTGCATCTTGGCACATGTTGAATCATTCAGCATGAAACAAAGAGGGATCATTTAAATGGTGATTATTAACAAAATTTGTAAATTGTATTTCCCTTTTAAACTTTTTCTTACATCTCAGCTTCAGATATATAAGTCACAGATTTATTGTTAATTATCGGTAAATAAATC